CTTCTGTGCTCCTGCATGTGACAGAATGAATGAAACGTTGTCAAGCATCTGTTAACGGAGGTCTGGCACAGTAGTCTGGGCCAATTGATGACCCATCCTGAAAGTGGCCCAGCTTTAGTGTTCCCCTGGCCAGTGTTTATATCTCTGCTGAGTGACATTTGCTCATTTTAGTTTGTAAACGTGTTGTGGGGCATCCCTGTAACAGCATCCATTTGACCAGTGTTCTGTCTATCCAGGTCCTTTTGTTCCTGCTTGGTGCTCCCATCAGATGGCTCACCAGAACTTCAGGAGGTCGTTGAGCTCAATGTGGAGTTTCAGGTTTGTTTGACTCCCATATTCCTTGAGTCATCAGAAGCCCGAGCACATGGGCACAAGATTTCCTGTGGAACACTTTCATAATGTGTTTATTTTATATAATGCACAGAGGAGGTTGGAACAGCTTCTCTACAGTGACCGCTACTTCAAGCATGATTTTGCTGTGGTCCTTCAGCCTTACCTAACCAAGGCACAGCCAGCAAGGAAACCAGTGAGTTTCAGCTTCGTCTCTGGTTTTATTCCTAGTTTGCCCCTCCATTCACGTAAATATTCAGGTGACAGAAGCCAGGCTAGGTCAGTGTTACCCGCAATCAGTGTTACTCACAAAAGTGATCCATTACAGACAGAGGTAGAAAGTTCAGGCCCAGAAAGTTCAGGCCCAGAAAGTACAAATCCAGACCAAGGTTTTGTTTCAACCAACCAGTTGAATACTCTGTGACTGTGGCTCTTTATTCTGAACTGGTTGTAATGGGGAGTGACAAACAAGGACTGCCCTCAATGCCACATGTTCCTTCATTTCTGACACAGGATGGAAAACTTGACCTGAGCTTCTTTGCACCCGACTGCTTCCATTTCAGCATCAAAGGTCACGAGGAATTGGCCAAGGGGCTGTGGAACAACATGGTAGGTGCTGGGAGACCTGCCTGAAAAACAGCCGATGATTCTAATACGGCAACTCACCTCTGGCATTTTCTCCCCCCAGTTCCAACCAGCAGGAGAGAAGTTTATGATAGAGAGTTTTACAGAGCCGGTTAAACTCGCATGTCCACCCAGGGTGAGTACTCTGGCTTTTAAATGCTACCTCTGCCCTGCACATATATGGTGTTATGTGTTATGAACAGAGGTTTGCTGTTGGGTTTTAGTAGCTCACTGTGATGAGGGATCTCCTGTTTCTGACTCCTCCTGTATTTCTCTGTAGGACCATCCTTACATCTACACTAGACCTACAGCTGCTAGCAGCCTCCCCAAGCTCTTCTTGCCCTTGTTAGCCTTGGCATATCTCCATTGATGGAGTCCCCTCCATTAGGACACTTGCTGGCCACGTAACCTGTGCATGGAAAAATGGAATTGAATTTGTTTGAATGGGAAGGTTTGAAAACTTATGTCAGCAGCTGAAAATGACTGACCTCGTGGGGGCAGATTTGACTGCTGCCATTGGAAGATCTGTACTCTGTATTGGTGCTTCTAAATCCAGTCCTCAGGGACCTTCAGACAGTCCATGTTTTTGCTCCCTCCCGAGAGCTAAAATGTAGACTAGCTGGGAGGGAGCAAAAACGGGGACTGTCTGGGGGTTCCTGAGGAGTGGATTGAGAAACACCCATCGATATTGATGAGAAAAATCTTTAAAAAGAAAGTACTGTTAAATTGGTCCAAAATGACAGATCATGCTTGTGTCATGTATCCATTTATTCTGAGAGTCTTACTTGAAAACTTACCTCACACTATAAAGATTGATAATAAAGTTGTATCAATCTCTGTTGTGGTATAGTGTGCCATGTTATTAAATGGTGGAGATCAGGCTCAAATGAGGCAGTGAAAGTTCCTTATTAAATGTTATTAAATACTAAACTCCTCACCTTTTATGGACAGAGTGGCATGAGCCTAAGAACTTCAAGTGAGAGGATGGTGTTGCACATAAAAGCAACTCCTTAACACATGGAAATGTACATGAGAAAGGTTGTCAAACTTCAGATAAATTCTATTTTATTTGTATAGTGCATTTTCACAGCATTACTTTGCGTCAAAGCACTTTACATTATCCCCGTCCAAAGCCCCCAGTGAGCAAGACAGAGGTGCCAGTGACGAGGAAATACTCCCTAGCAGGAAGAAACCTTGGGAGGAGCCAGACTCAAAGGGGGCTGGAAGGTGAAGTCAAATGAACAACATGAGCAAAGTCCTAATTTATACAATCCAAATTTTAAGATTTGATTGTAAATACAGACGGCAAACAGGTGATGGTGCTGCTTCTGAAACACTCTCTAAGCAGGAGGTTGATGTTCCAATCAGCTGGCAGCCTTTTTATTTAACTTGTTCAACAAGCAGGCATATATGAATAAGGGTGTCAAACTTCCACTTTCCTTTGATAGTGCTAAACTCTCAAATGTAACGTCAAAAGTTCTAATGAAGAGATTGAAGGTCCGGGCAGTTAATTTCAGTAGCTTCCAGAGCTAGTGCTGTGAGAACAGACGTCAGGTAACGTCAGTCTAGAAGGTTCGAGCGTGGCAAGGTGACTCCTGGACCTTTGGACTGAATACCTCCGATCTGAGGGTGATAGTGGCTGGCGAGTATAAACGGAAAGGTGCATTATGTAACAAAGTGATAACTTGGCTCTGTAATGGGGCCATTACGCGTTGGAATAACTTCCCCGCCCCTCTTTACTCAATTGACAACCATGGACATTCCCACCGTTGAATTACCAAGGTTAGTCTCAAACCCTTTCTTGATCGTTGTTCAAGTCCGGAGAGTCCGTAATGAACTACAAATACGACAATGCCCGGAACAATTGGAATCTACCATCGCCTTGCGTTCGTTTTCGGGGGGTGGAAGGGACGATTTAAATATTTTTTATATATATAATAGTCAACTAAATGGCGATAGTAGCTGGTTTTTCATGTTTGACAAATACAATTATTGTACACTATGTCGTGTACGTGATTCTTAGAAACAAATATGAACAGGGGACGTGGATCCACGGTTTCCCCCTCCTAACTTGTAATAATTGTGAATATCTGTATCCCCTGCTGAAAAAAACAGCATATGTCTACCTGCATAAGGAATGCTGGACATAGTATATGTTGTGCTTTGCTGGTGCGTGGTGGAGCAGCATCATTAATGAAATATTGCTGATGGAACAGCATCATGTGCTGGTAGACCAGCACAACTATGCTGGTTCACCAGTTACACCAGCACCAAACCAGCATTGACCACCATAGATTGCTGTTTTTTCAGGAAGGGCGTCCGCTGGGTTTATTAAATAAAAGAAACCCCATTTAAACGTAAGCGATTATTTATTAATGGACTACTGTTTGAGCCCTGCACTCCAAGAACAAAATTATAAACATACTAAGTACAAACTTAACGCTGTTGACGAAACGGCCTTATGTCTCACTCTCTCCTCTGGTTTTATTTTGTGCATTTTTTATCCTTACTACAATCCACGTTACTGTCGTTATTTCCCGCCCCCCATTCGTGCATACAGGGTAATCGAAGGCTTAACCTGGCTGTGCGTGTTAAAACTTAATATATTTAAGCTTTAAAACATGGGAAAACAGCTTTCCCCACTCTTGGTTCAACGCATTTGTTAATCATTGTATTTATTTACATCGATAGTCGACATTTTTAACTACAGTAACACATTTTTTAAAAATTGTCGTAGCAACACGTAATTTTCAATTGAATTTAATAAGGATACATAAATTAGTGGATAGTGTAAAATAAAAATAGTTCATTTTTGTTGGTATATGCATTTACCTACTTAGGATTCGCGATGGTAATACGACGCTACGCTTATATTACTTGAAAATAAATTAGGCCTATTAAGTTTTAAGTAAACGATAGCGATATTTTACGTAGGATAATTATTGCTTCAACAGTTAGCAATATGCTGGTGTTTTTAAGAATGTGAGATAAAGTTTATAAAATTACTGAATTACTAAAGTATGATTCTGAAATTTAAATAGTTTTTGGGAAAATAAGTAGATCAATTCCAAGAAGTACCAAAATAGTTATTGTATTATTGTGATGTCATTTCCTTCGGCAAAGCCCTTATAAAGAAGGTACGACGCACCAGAGCTGATGCAGATAGCCGGTGGAAAGCGGGACAAATGACTGGAAAATATTCCACCTGCTTCGCAGACATGATCGCTACGGGATGCTTAGTCTTTGCTTTCTCTGTAATTTCAGGTAAGGCAAAGCGGAAATATCCTGTGCACTGAGATTTGTTTTACATCTGCTGTCACTTTATATTATTACACTTTGTGTTTTAAGAATTGATATATCTACCGGATAATTGGTCTGGCATCGCAAGTGAAGTCGTCCTTTGATTCAGTACCAAGGACAGCAGTAGTTATCGGCTCTTAGTCCGAACCTGATGTTTTATGGGGGGCGAATATGTAAAAATGATATATATAGATATTTGTATTTTAATTTTTTAGTTTATCTAATACACGGTTTAATGCACTCACATCACCACTTGTAGGTGCAGTGAACAGTGTATACCCAACGCATGAGAAGTAAATGCACAAAAGATGAATATTTCAGAGACGAGTCAGTAAAACTATACCAACAAAATTACACAAGTGATTTTTTTTATCCCTGAGTTAAGACATCGTAAGGCTAACTGATCTATAAAACTACCCATAGTGTATGACTGAGTGTCGCATGCATGTGGACTTGCTATGGACTGACATTAAAGTTTTGAATAAATGACCGGAACCTGATGTTTCTTCATGTCCGCATCTTTCCCCTTGTTGCGCAGTATCTTCGCACCCGGTGTCCCCAGGTTATACGGAGAAACCAGACTCCACGGTAAATCATCCCTTTCCCTCTGTGTCACACACTAAAGAGGTGAGGAACAGTTTCGGCAAGTCTCAGATTATTGTTAACAATTGCATTGTGCATTGTTTTCGCATTGTTCGTTTTACGTTAGAAGTCTACGGACGCGTACATTCGGGCGACAGAAATACGACGTTACACGGTGGAAACGGGGGCGGTTCTAGCGGGAGGGGAGATCCGGGGCTTTAGAACTGTCCAGTTCGAGATTAAAAAGTATAAAATTCTATCGGTCTGTTCCGTTCAAAATGCATTAATTCCCTGCTCATCGCGGCTCTAAATATCACAACAAAACCACGTTATAGGTAAGATGAACAAACCATGACTAAAAAAGATTCAGGGCTTAAGACTCAGCAGCCCGACCCTGGCGCTGCCACTGAATGGAAAGACTAAAACGGGAATAGGTCTATGGGAAATCGATTAATGAGATTAACTTTAATATTAGTGACACGTGTAAGACTACAATAATCTGCTGATGTTGAGAAGGTCACTGCTGACTCTGTCCTCAGTTGCCATTATAAAAATGGTGTCACTGATCCATTTGCACGGGTGTTTGAATCTAGTGTGTGAGCCCTCTGCAGTGGCTTCCCTCGGACCCCCTCAACCGTGAAAAGCACTTTGCAGAGTGGATATCCCTGATCATATCTGTAAATCCAGTTGTAGTGGGTTGATGTAGCGGTGCGAGCGCAGCTTGCGTCCTGTTGGACAGACAGCAGGGTTGGTACTAAACGGTACCGTCAGTCTGAGTGGCTGCGCGGAGGATGGGAGATCTCTGGGAGTCCACGATAAAGCAGCGCATTTGGTTGCTGGGGCAGAGCAGTAATATCAGCTGACGGGGTACGGAACGCCCCCGCAGAGGAATATAGGATGGGAAGGGACTCCTGGAAGTAAATACAGTCGATTGCATAAAACCGTTCAGGCAGCCTGGCTCTGACTTAAGAGACGTTCTGGCTAAGTGATTTTCACAATTAACTGCAATGCAGCGTCACTTAAAAATACGCAACGTACAAGGGTGCCAAAGGGGAAAACGGCTCTAGATCAGCTGTCACGGGGGACCCTTACGCTCACCCCCCTCCCCGCCCCCTTCCCCCAGCCAAGCAAAAGAAACACAATCAGCTGCAGTATAAAAAAGCAATGCTGCATTTTCAGTATTTTTCGGTACTCACAGAAAATGTCCTTGGGGTAAATGAAATGGGAATCTAAGGGCATTTCACTGAGCACAGACTGTATCAAATTTTTCATTGGTGGAAAATTTCAATGTGACTTTGCTGAAAATCAATAAATCTCAATAGTGTTATTTTTTTAGTGGAATCACACAGCCGCTGGCTCTCGTTGGGGCGGGTATTACCTGAATGGGCGACTGAGACTTTGAGGGGTAAATGGCTTACACTCTGGTTCTGAGGGAGTGATGAACGGACGAGAGCAAGAGCTGAAACAGAGGACTGAGCCTTAGTAGGGAGGATTTTTCTGTTGTTTCCATTACCTTCTCCTTTCCCTTCCCATCCACAGCACCCAGAAGAGGGAGGGGGGATATAATGTTGTTCTATTCTATTCTATTCTATTCTATTGTATTCTATTGTATTCTATTCACTTGTATTACTGTTATCTAAGCATATGTCTGATATAAATGTTTTATTTCTGCACTAATATGGTCCACTCAGGTGATGATATAAATGTTTTATTTCTGCACTAATATGGTCCACTCAGGTGATGAAGTGCATCGTTGAGGTGATCACCGACACCTTGTCAAAGCCCCAACCCAACGCTGTCAGCCAGGAGTGCCTGGATGTTCTCTCCAGAGGTAGGGCTGCTTGGGGGGGATTATGATCCACACAGAAGTGCATAGGAAAGTATCCAGGTTGGGAAATACAGCCGAATCACAGGCCACAGACCAGAAGGAGTCGGTGGTGAAAGCTGGGGTGGGTGGGCAAGCTGGCAGGACGGGCGGAAGTGGAGGGGGGGCTTTTTCAGGAGTTCTGGCCCACGTAGAGCAAATTCTCTTCCTCAGCTGGGTCAGCAAAATTGCTCATCATGGGCATAAATCAGTGTGGAGCGTGAAACTCAGCCCACATCCTCTGATTAATCATCCGACTGCTCAGCACCTGCACGAAGCAGCTGTAAACTGCAGGCCAATTAGCTGACAAGTGAAGAGCTCCTGGGGCCTGTGAGTGATGGAGATGGAGCTGTCTATACGAGAGCCTCGCTGTGCAGGACGGACAGGACACATCTGTTCTCTCCTCTCCATTTAAATCACTAATAACAATCTCACCTCAGCTGACAAAAGGGAAACTTACTTTTTTTTTTGTTAAAATGCAGAATCTGTCCTCTGTTTTTCCTGTTTTTTTTTTTTTTAACTGGCAGATACACAGACACCTATTTGGCACTCTAACATGTCCCTCTCCTCTCCTCATAGACGAAACAATTGTTTCAATCTTGCAGCACCAGAACTTCCTCCAGGAACTGCAGGAGTTTGCCACCCAAGGTGAGGGGCAGCCTGGTGCCCCTGAATCATATATGTTGTGACTGTGTATATATATCTTGTGTGACTGACTGTGAGTGTGCCCTGTGATTGGTTGGCGCCCCATCCTGGGTTATTCCCTGCATTGTGCCCATAGCTTCCAGCAGAGGCTCAGGACCCCCCTGTGACCCATAATAGGACAAGTGGGTATAGAAAATGGTTGGATGGATTTTAGCTTAAATTGTTATTTGATCCTCCACTTATCAGTGGTGCGATTCTCACATTATCAGGGGTTGTTTGTGTGTGTGAGTTTTTACATTTAATCATGTTCTTGCTTTCTGTTGTGTGAGATAATGTTTTTGCCATAGTCATGACCGTCATTCTCCATCTTACCTACAGGTGTCAGCGAGGGATCCCGGCAGCAGCCGCAGTTGGGCGGTGGAGAGCAGGTGACCAGCGAACTAGAAGATCAGCTAGCTGTGGAACCCACTGCAGGTGGGCAGAGGGTGAAGGGGGGCAAAAAAGGGGGTTAATACCCTTTAATCAATGGGGAGGACTTATGGTCCTGAAATGTTGTTGTACCTAATTTTGTATGTGCTGTGTGCTCATTGTGAAGGAACAAGCAGGTATAATGCTGGATATGCGTGTCTGTTCTGTATTCCCTAAAAACATTCAGCGGTTTGCAGACTGTCTGGGACTCTGAGCGTTCGTGTGCTCAGCAAAATACCCTTGAACACGCCCCCCCCCCCATTCCTAATGGAGGGGTACTGCTGAGAATGAAGCCACATCATCCCTGCCCTGCCCCATGTTAAAGGCAGGGCTCAGCTCCGCAGTGGGGTGGAATGTGCAGTGATTCACAGAGAAAGGCCAATACAAACAGGCCATTACAAACAATAGCTGTGCCACCGTGGTCCAGGTCATTCCACCTGCCACTGTAACAAATTTATCCCACCTCTTTAAACCACCTGCTGCTCATTATTATTATTGGGCTTTATCCAAAAAAATAGTTTTAGCTGTTTCGTCTTTGTGTAAGCATCTGATCTGGCTACTCACTGGTTAGTCCATGTCTTTGATGAAATTATTATATTTTGTTGATCCCTGTGGGGAAAAAACTCTTTTTGTCTACCCGATTTCTCTCCATAGGTGAGAGCAAACTAATCAGTGATGGGCAGCCACCCAGAGTGCTGGAGGTTAGGGGCCTGGCTCCAGAGCCCACAGACATACTGTAGTCAGGCTTGAACCAGTAACCTTCAGATCATAGGTGTAGAGGCTTAGCCCACTGAGCCACCCATTGCCCCTAACCTAGGCTGGCTCAGGGCGAGTTCCTTTGTGGATCTCCCATGCAATCTCTATCATGCAGACCAAACCGTACCAGATGACCTAGGAGTGCAGGATTCAGAGAGAGGAGGCATGGCCAGGAGACAGGAGGAGGAGCTACAGTGGAAGGCGGAGCCACAAGTGGGTGACATGATAAGGGACAACACAGAAGCCCATAAGGAAGACGAGGACAAGGAGGAGCACCAGAAGGCTGAGCTGAACGAGGAAAAGAGTGTGTCCTCGAGCAGGGAGGAGGATGAGGAGAGCAGAAAGGCAGGAGAGAACCCAGAAAAAGAAAAAAGCGAGACTAGTGATTCAGGAGAGGAGCACAGCATCGAAGTGACCCAAGGTAAGATGAACGACCTGCCTTCAAAGGCTCCATTGTAATAGTGCATGACAGCTGAGGTTGACTGGAGGACGCTTCTGTGCACATGAGTGCATCGCTGGGAAAACAGTGGCAGCATGTCCCCTGCTGGGGATGAAGTCATCAGTCACAAGGATTAATCACACAGCTGGCCCTGAGAGGCTGCCACCCTGTGGCAGGTGTGAGAATGTCGGCCGAATGAGTGTGGAAATGAGAGCAAAACAGCAGGACAGAGGCCACCTCTACACACTGAAAAATGTGCTTGTGGATTATTTCTTCTTCTTATTATTATTATTATTATTATTTATTTTTAAATCCTTTTTACTGACCATGGATGGTCAAATCTTTTTTCATTGTCCAAAACTGAATATTTTTTTTCCAAGTGATTTGAATTTAAACTGAATTGTAGGAGAACTATGGCTGGTTGTTAAAGTGATTAGCAGTGCATGGATGAATGATGGGTGATCGGGATCTGTGCTCAAACAGGGAACAAGGCTGGTCCAGAAATGGAATTAGAGCTGACAGAGGTGCGAGCCACGGAGGAAGACCCAGAAGAGAAAGAGAGCGCAGAGAGTGAGGACCAGGAGGCAGAGGTGGAGACAAGGCTGGACCAAGAAGTGCTCCAGCCGACGTTCAAGGCGGAAAGCGGAAGGTGGGCGGGGCAAGAGGATGTGGAGGAGGATGACGATGCAAAGGAAGAGCCAAGGCGAGAAATCAGCGTTATAGAGGACAGTCTTCTTCAACCCAAAGTGGTGGCGCGAAGGAGCCCCGAGGAGCAAGAGCTCCACCTGGTGGCTCGGGGGGAGATTGAAGAGGGCAGTGCCAGCCAGAGGACAGAGGTGAGGGGTGAGTGCGGCTGAGGCGTCGAAGTCTCAAAATCCACTAGTGCCACACAGGGTCTCTAACACACAGGGAAGTTACTCAGGGAGCAGGATGCCCGTCTCATTTCTATGGTCGCGGACATGCTGCTGCACGGCTGCTCTGCTTCTGCGTGTTCGCAGCACTGTCACGCTCACTGACGGACATGCAGCCTCACTGCGCGGTCAGGCACTCAAGTCCCAGGCTGCCCTGTTCTCTGTGCCCCTGCAGGACAGTGAGATAGAGCTTCTGGCAGCCATCGAGGCCGAGCTCGGCAGCCTGGCCCAGCAGCTCCACGGACTCCAGAGGGGCTGAACAGAGCCCGTCGCCCCTCCCCCCCCACCTGCAACATCTCCGGCACCCCCCCAGGACACGCTGTTTACGCCTCTGTGCACATTAACCACACCCACACTTTTAAGCTCAGCTTCACCACGCCCGCTATTTTGGTCCCATAAACCCGCCTTCACACTATGCAAAGGAACACAGACGCTAATGCAGTGAAGTATATTGCTAGTTCAGTGCCAGTCTGGGAGTCGAGCCCGAACACAAGCAGCAGTTGTTTTTAATGATGTATTCTATCGAATATTGTCCTTAAATATAAATGATTATAAATGTATTTAATAGTCCAACAATTTGACAAGAATTACATGCTGTATGAAAATTCAGAAAACTGAATCACAATAAATGACATAGACTGTTGGTGAATTCCTCTTGGGTAATAATGCAGGGTAGTTATCAGCCTGTTCTGAAACACCCAAACCTCCCCCATCACTCACCAAGCCGCATATTAACACATGAAGTATTAATAAAGTATCATTATATTGGTCCCCTGAGGTTCCTGGGGAAGCCATTTTTTATGCCTTCCTCATATTCCTGAAGGGGCAGTGTAATCACAGGTTGATTAATTTTGCTATCAGCCAGACATAATCCTCTTCATCAGGCAGTGAAGCAGGTTAACGTGGCACACGACTTATATTGCTTCCTGGTTAACACAATCCAGTGAATTGTAAAATCCCACCACTAGGGGGCACACACATGCATGCTTTTAAGCGGCTGATGTATCTTACTGAACAGTGCTGCAAGCACAGCCGGGAGAGGTGTGGTTTGTTCCATCCTCTGGAATAGAGTGGTGGGCCCGGGTCAGCATTTTTCCTTTCCCAGAGAGCATCGATTTGAGCAGTGAGCTGAAAACAATCTGCTGCTTTGGCCTAGAATGCGACAATTTAATAATAGCTTAAAGGTTTCAGTCATGCACTTCCACTCTGCTTATCCAACTGCTGAGGCATTAAATCTCCTTAATGCGACCATTTACTCAATCCTGCATGGTACAGCCCTTTCTCCAGACTGCGATATATTAAGCATACGCCTCTTCCAGAAAGAACCCCAGAGCCACGGAGAATGATTACCAGGCGCGGAGTGAGCATGAAGATTTAGTTGGAAGACAAATACAGAGTAGAGATTTACCTCCCGGTTACTCCCACCCCAGATACAGCAAAAGAGGCAAATAATCACAAAACAGCTGAAAAATAACATCATATTTTTGTATTTATTTAATTTTTTTACCCAGATGGTTCATTTAATTAAAAAAGTCACAAAAATTTGTTTTTCCTTTTGAACTGTTACAAAAACACCATTTAGGCATGTATGTATTCATATATGTGTATATAATGTATACATACATATATATTATATATAGATATATAACATTTCAAAGTAAACATTACGGTGGAAGCAGACAGGTCAGGTTAGAGCAGTTATCAATGCTGACACTACTTCCCACTCGGAGCACACTGAAGAGGACAACCATGCAGGAAATAACAGCACTATCAAAATGCCACGCCTTTCTTCCTCAGTCCCCTCAGTTCTCATCCATTGGATAAGCAATTAAGCCACACCCACACAAGCCCAGTGGAGCTCTACATACACATTGGAGGAAGCCACTCACCACTAGAGGGCAATAGCCTCTATTCAAAATGGTTTGTTCTTCTTCTGCTCACTTATTAATTCTACCCCTATTTATATAAATATAAGTCAATCTCAATAAAATAATTTCTTTTTTTGTGTGTGTTTTTAAGAATATTGAGGAAATGGACAGGAGGGAAATAAAGTAATCTCACAGTGAACAGCTGGAAGATAAAACAGGAGTTGAAAACTTCCACGACCTCTCACGTTTGACATCACAACCACATCAACAGATTGACACGGCACGCCTTAGGGGGCCATTACTTTGCTGGGAAACCTAGGAGAATGGAGACATGCAGGGCCCAAGGCTGGGGCACAGATGCTGACAGAGCACGCCACTGCCTCAAGTGGACCAGAATGGAAACTTACAAAATCTGTCTGCTCAATGCTGCCTCTAGTGGACCATAGCAGGAATGTTACAATTTGCCAGGGACAGGACAGAGAAAATTCCATTTAACCTTCCAAATTTGTGAATCTCCAAGATTTTTTTAAGCTAGTTCACATCCAAAAAAAAAAAAAAAAGTAGGAGCCCTTTTTTGAGGAAGAATAATTTATGCTATGGCTATAAACATCACATTTGAAAAATAGTATTTTTTTAAGAAGCAATAAAAACGCTAAACTATGTCAAGAAGTTGAGGAAGATGTGGAATGCATGAGGTCTGCTGAATGCCCTGTGTCTGAGTACTGTGGAAAGCTGAAGGTCGTCACCTCCAGCTGAATCTCCACCACCATAGCAACCAAGCCACACCAGCACATTGCCACAGTGATGTCAAGAGAAAGGAGCAAATGCGGGGGGGGGGGGGGTCACATCATATTTTGTGAACAGCCATCTCAAGGTAAAAAGGGGGGCTGTTTAAAAATAAGAGGGCTCCTTCACTATATTATGTGGGTGTTCTCCTTTAATGATAGGTATGGAAATCATTTTGGTTTAAAAATTCCCCGCCCCTTACGTTAATTAGTGGAAAAAAAAGAAAAACATGTATGAATGAATAGAAGAATTCTGCACACGGGATGGAGACATGCTGAACAGACAGCGGACTGACCCAGGACCCAGCTTCAACCTGAAGCCACACCCAGTCTTGAGCCCTACACTGGTGGTAATGCTGGGATGGCATTTGGAGGAAATGTAAAGCAAACCTAGACCAGGAGCATCAATGACGTCCAAGTGTCTGTACAGTACGCAATGTTAACAGGGGGAAAAGAAAACACACACAGAAACAAATAGGTGTCACTTCCATTGTCACCAAGACCACCAAAGGAGAGCGTTGGTTTGATTACAGACAAATTATCATAATCATTATAATCACCGTCGTCGCGTTTAGGGGGGGTGGGGTGCAAGTGACTGAGGCAGAGGCAGTCACTGGGACGAGGCCTTGGTGACTATCGTAGACACACAGTGCTGCTGGAAGTTGGGAGAGACTGCAGAGTTGCAACCCAGTCTCTGGTGGGGACCTTTCTTGCCCCCATCCGCTTCCACGATCCAAGGGCTGCCGTCTTTTCCCAGCATGCTGCAGCAGCCGGACGGACTCGCGCAGCCGCGCTCACCGCCGGCTGGGGTCTGTCCCGCCGCGCTGCCATTCTGCGGCCCAGAGGGGGCGCTCTCTGATGCCTGGGCCTGCAGGACGTTTATTATGTGGTTCAACAGGTCAGTGAAGAACTCCGGGACGCCTTCATATCCTGAAGATAGACAGGATGAAGAAATCAGGATATAGAAAGATACATACAATTATGCTGTCCTAGCAGAGCACAAACAAAGATTTTTAAATACGGGCTCTTGGTTTAAAAAGAGGAATGAATAATTCGAACTGTCTCACAACATAAAGTGAAAGCAGAGGCGCCCTCTTATGGAAGTCAAGAGAATGGCGTACCTGGAAAGGCATTGATGTCAATGACGGCGTGCTGGCCTGTCTGATTGTTTATGATGACGTCAATGCCGAAGAGGGACACACCCAGCGCTTCTCGCAGAGACCGGGACAGCTCCCTGATGACATCATCACTGGGAGGCAAGGACACACCCTCCACATTTTCTCTCTGTGGAACAAAAGGAAAAAATAAACCTAATGAAATAATAACAAAAACAACTATAATATTAATAACAAACAGATAGACAGACATAATCCCAGGCAATACACATACATTGTAATCCTTCCATTGCCACTTTGTATCAAAGTCCGATAAATTAATAAAATATAAAAGAATGTAACAATAATAATAAACAATATACATATAACAATGACTTCACTTTTTCAAAAACAAGCATACATATAACAATCAGTATATTTTGTATAAAATCTGCACCAATAATCACCCAAGATTACAATGTGTCATTATAATGTCATAAATGTTTAGGGCCAACCAGCACAAGGCAACTTACTGAAGTCAGATCAGAAGACGACTCTGGCTTGGAAACATTGTGGCTGTTGAAGAAAATAGCTTGTCTGTCTGCAAGAGAGGAAAAAGAATGCAGGACTCTCACTGGTGGGCCACATTCACGTTACCTCATGTGTCTCCACTTCCTCCCACCCTGACCTGCTGCGTGGTGCTTGCATGCAGTTCTCAACATTGCCACTAGGTGAAGACAAAGACTGCAATTGGCACCCAGCGAGCAGTAAGCTTGTTTTGGAATTTAAAATAAAAGAAAAAAGAAAAAAAAATGATAATAATAAATGTGCCTGCTTATATTTGGTATTCTATAGATATTTAGTACCTGGTAATATTACTGCCATAAATACAGCTACAAGAAGAATCAAAAAATCACTTCAAAACCAGGGCTATTCTGGTATAAAACCCATTCACCAAATGGAGGAATTCGTCTGCCATCAGTCACTCTCGGAGACATAACACTGCCAGAGATCAATAGGCAGCCGGCCCTGCCTACCCTGCTGGCTGTCACACCCGGAATGCTTGCTTTCAGAAGTAAGGCATACTTCACTGCACCTCTACAGAACCCCACCCTGCCCTGGTCACCCTGGTCCAGAGAAATGGCTTCATACACTGAAGGTGAAGAGCAGCCCTTACCTCGGAGGCAGTGACATTTCATTGTACCAAAGCATACCAGAAAGCCATGAACGAGGCTCTGGTGGAAAATCTGACCAGCATTCCTCCCCAGTTAACCTTTTCAAAAGACGCCCCCAAGGTCCCTCCAAACACCCACTTTGACATCATGGCTGGTGCATTTCACAGTGCTGAGTACGGACTGATTACTGCAGCTATCTTTGCATCTACCTGAGATCACAGACCACGCAAGCTGCTTCAGATCACGCTTGGCCAGGTTATCAGATCCATTCCTGCAAGTCTTGTTAACGGCTGGTCCAGCTGGTTAACGGCCCTGAATGAACCCCCACCTTCCCACACGCACACAATAAGGCTGGGAGGGGGGGCCTCCCTCTCGGTCAAAGGGTCAGTAAGCTGCCATACCTCAATGTACTTAAAGGAGAGCCACATCCCAGCTGCCCCACTAGGCTCCGGATGACTCAGGATGGACTCAGCAGCCCCGAGAAGTTTTGCATGGGAGGCCATTGAATAACTGGAATGAGTTTTGCATGTGCACACTAATCGTAGCAGGCATGCAAACGCAGCCGCTGACGTTCGGAATGAAGAGCGTGGCGAGAGGGGAACGCAGTCCTGCAGGCCGGGCTGCACGTGCCCCCAGAGTCCTGCTGTTACATAACCAGCAGTGACGCAAGAGCGCCTGTGTTTTTTTAGAGTTAGCAGGGTCACTCCAAATCTGGACACTGCTAGGAACAGCCCCACCTAGGGGCCTGGAAGTCACCGACCACCAAGTTTTAAGTGTGTCACCAAATGCTGGGGGGTATCTAAATATGTACAAGGGCAGCAAATGCACATTGCAGCAGCGAGCCAACCAAAGACGAAGCACAGACATACGTTTTACTAAAAAGCCAGACGAACAAGAGTTCTGTATGTAAGCCAAGCAATGAGAAGTGCAGACGTCTACATGCCGTTAGCGAGCTAGCCAGTACAAAGTGCAGGCACACATTCTGTTAGCAAGTTATCCACTGACAAGGGTGGACATATGTTATGATATGTTCTGGACTATCCAATGAGAAATCCCGACACATGTTCTGTTAGTGAGCCAACAAATGAGAAGCCTGGACAGGCGTTTTTTGGCTGTGGAGCCTCACCAGCTGCCCCTGAAGGGAAGTTCCTCAGCGATGGCCTCTCCACCACAGTGTAGGACTCTCCCACCACGAAGACCTTGTAGAGCATGGCGTTGTGGTTGATGAAGCTCTGGATCACGCACGGAGGAGTGACATTCTTCAGATCCTCCTCGCTGAAGATGATGGCCATCTGGGTGCAAAAGGGGTGGGGGTGGGTGGGGGGGTAAATGTTACCCAACCTTCCATGTTCACAATACTGATATTTTGCTTCCTAAACCATACGGTAACTTGTTGGGTGAGGTTAGGGGCAGAAACGACGGAAATCAACATGCAAAGTACATAACCTTGAACATGGTCACAGATCATTTAAAAAGGTAAAGGAACACACACATGATTTTCCTCTAGAGAAGGCACCATCACCAGTATAACGTCACTGGGTGCTTCCCACTGGAAAGATCTCGATAATTAATCCCGCATGACTAATACGGCCTCCACCAATAGCGGGTTCGACGTGAGCATCATAGGTCATATGCAGACCCTGAAACACCTTAATTTCATTGGAGAATTCATAGGTTAAATATAATAAATATAACCCTATTAAACTTTCCTAGTTCGGTCTCTTGACAACAAAATCCTTTAGTGCAACGTTGCCCCGTCCGTACCTAAGGGACACACAGACGTTCCACATTTTTGCTCCCTCCCAGCTCCAGCAAAAATATGGACTGTATGACAGGGAGCTCAGAGGGAGCAAAAACATGGACCGACTGTGTGTCCCTGAGGACCGGAGATGGACGGATCTAGTAAGATGGGTTCCTTGCCCTTTTGGTCTTGGGGCCCCGAAGTTCTTGGGGCCCCGTGTGGTATTGAGCTGGCCTTACTGATTGGTTTGAGTTCTGCTCTTCACTTCACGTTTTGTCAGTGTGATCAACCTCAAGGGTGAAATGTGGCTGCCAGTGCCAGTGCCAGTGCCAGTGCCAGTGCCAGTAACTCGCCAGAAAAGCAGCTCACTGCCTCTCTCTCTCTCCGCTCTTGCGGGATTTTAACCACAGATCTTATGATCTTTTTGTTTCTGGAGATGTTGCAAGATGTCTGGAATAGTGTCACAGATGTCTATAGCAATCAAATATCTTGAACTACCTGCTTATTTTTAGGTTAGGATTTTTTTGTTCTCATCATACTGAAGGTCTGACCGAAAAGCTTTTTCACATCTCCATGGCAACAGTGACCTATGACTCAGCACTCGTGTGACGTGGACGAAACAGGCTCGTGATGATACACCACACAGAGCCTCACCTTCCTTCCTGTTCGACTTCATCTGCCTTATCTGCCTTCCTGTTTACTCCCAGACTGTGATTAACCCTTCGATGGGTCCCAAGTTAATTTAGGATCAGTACAAAGGTAACAACAGCCTTATGGAAGGAGTGGGGGGGGGGGGCAAACACGCTCCTCACTCTAGCTGCCCGTAGGCCCTGATGTAGGATCAGCTTACACTGGGGGGAAAAAAAAAGCGTAGCCAACAAAAGATTAACCTGGGGCCAGTGGAAGGAGCGAAACTGATCCGAGACAGAATATCCTGGAAAAACTATCACTCTGTTTGCGATGCTCATCTGCAATTTAGCAGATCGTTAACAGAAACAACAACAACTCCGCACAAAGCAACATACGCAACAGCCGCACCCAACGCACTGGGGGGTCCAGACGCATCAGCAAAAGGGGCCGGTGTGAGGGATGACTTAACATATGGTACGGCGTGTCATATTCACTGAAGGACACGTCCCCCCCCCTCCCC